ATGTAGAAACACACTTGCTTGTTATGCGCTTTTCAATATAGTGTTAAATCTACTTTTCAATAAAAAGGACAATAAGCTCTGATAAAATAGTTTTTGTAACTGCACATTACTTTTTTATTTCTTTCTAGATTTTGTAGCCTCTTAAATGGAGGACTGGATAATAACATACTGCCTTCTGTCATTAATAACAAAGAAAATCTTATCAAAATCGTGTCAATCATTTGAATTTTTATACCTTTTTTTATTTCTTACAGTTAAATTGAAAACAGTAAAATGTCATCAGATTTTTTTTCAATGACCTACAGTTTAGTCGTTTTTAGTCAAAGCAGATGAAAACTAAAAGTATTTTTTAATGGATCTTTGTAATATTTTTAAACACTTATGTAAAACAATAACATTGTTTTTGCTTTTTGTTTTTAATTCATAAATTTTTGCTAGTTTACTAGTGACATTTAAAAATTGAAACGTAGTTGGACTAGAAGTTTCAAATAAAAAAGGTGGAAATCATTGCGTTTCAGAAAGTATTATTAGTTAATTGTCGTAAAAATGCTCGTAAAACAAGATGGTCCTTGTCGAGCAAGTGGATTAGAGATTTTCTGTAAATATCGAGCGTCCATTCACTCGGAATATCGCCGGGATCTGCTACATTTCATTCGGGTCCCTAACATAATCATTATTGTCCTCCGATTTAGCCGAGCTTAATGAATCAAATCCGGCGCTTCAAACAAAATAATAATAAAACCGAATGGAAGTATTGATTTGAGCGTCGGTTCTAAATTAAAATCGTCGTCGCTGCCGTTTTCCTGAATATGCAGAAAATTAGGGCTGAAGAAAATAAGCCATTTGAGAAAAAATCCCGGTTTAAAATATAAGCACGAGCGAGCAGAAATATTGGAAGAGATTAAAGGCATGGGAAAAATAAAGGATTATTTGACACACAATTAAAACGCCGCCGAGGGACGCCATATTTTTTGCAGGAAGTTTAACTGGCTCAAAGCGTGCAGCTTCTTGAGGAATTTCTCAAAAATTTATGATCTAGGAGATGCTCGTCAGAGCGGTTTCGGCGGAGCACTCTACATACAGGCTTACACTGAAAGCTCCCTGGTGAATAATTCAATAACTATACCTACATCTGACAGTAATTTCAGTCAGAGTCGGATAAATTAAAGGTTGGTTTTTTTGAATTTGAACGTTACTGAAAACTTCAGATACGAATCAATTTCGTAAGAAAAAAATTACGTGCTTAAACTTGAATTACAAAATAAACAACTATGTTTAAAATGAGCGACACAACGTGCCGGAGAGAACAATAAGGTGGATATTGTTCACGAATATTTGAAGGATCAACATTTCAAATAATATATTCTTTACAATGAAAGTGTATTTGTGATATATCACTGAGCATTGGATAAAAGTCCTTTTAGAAGAAATAAAAGAAAATTTGTTTTGTGCTTAAATCGAACAAAATAAACAAGAGCGGCTCCGCCAAACCTAAAAAAGCTTTATCTCTTTTCAAGCAAAGTATGCGCTTATGTCGCTAAAATAACACAATAATATCAGAGAAAATCTGCAAAAATCGTTCACTTTTAAGTTTCTCATACTTATTGGCTATTTCCAGTGCTCTCCTTAGACAATTTTTTTCATTTAAAGCCGAAACCGGTTTTTGGATCAATCAATCGTCAACAGCCGATTTTTATTATTAATGTCAAGCCAATTGAGCATACCCCTCGTTTTGTTTGCTAAAAGACCCAGCAAGAATCATTGAAATTTAATTAATCTCACATTGTACCATTTGCAGATGCCCATAAATAATGCCTTTCGTGCGTCGTGACCTCAAATAAAATATGCTAGAACTTGTTATCCGATTATTGACCGGTACTTGCGTGCTTTAAATCATCGTTTCAAATGACACGTTTTTTTCAGCGATCCGCGATTTTCCAGCCGGAAATGATGTTAATACAGCACATATCCGGCTTAACACGTCTATTTCTGCGCATGACTGAGCGTGTCAGCCGCAAACGCGCCATTTCCATATAAATTATCAATTTGATACGAGATAACACGTTTTAGTGTAAAAAGCAAAGTCGAGTTGAACGTTTTTTGGAGGAAAGGACGACGATTGGGTGGATAGTAAAGGCCGATGCATGGATAAAGGCCGATCTAATGATTCGGACCCCAACGCAACTGCATATTGATTGTAAAGCCGTTGGAGAGATTCTTAACCCACTTTGGAGCTTCCGGGCATAGATTGGAGGCGGCAAAACGGATTCCCTTACACTTTCGGCTTTTAAGGAAAGTTCAATTAAAATATAACAAAATAAAAGTTTTAAAATAAATTCTGAATCTTAATTTCATACCAACCCGGCGCATCCACCAAATTAGTATAAGCTTCGCTACACTCAAGATTAAAAAAGAATACCAGAAATAAAAATTATTGATTGATCCAATTTTGTGAGAGATCAATATTTAAATAAGTGAAAAAATGTTATTTGGACCTTTTCTCACAAAATGTTTATTAAAATTCCATTGTGAAATCACAAAATGGTGTCGAATGGACAAAAATAAACTTACTGTCTAAAGATGGTCATTATAAAAATTGGCAGAAACATGTAGCACGCAATTTTAATAAAGATTTTGAAAGAACAGAACATTTTTCCCCTTATCTAAGAAATAAAAAGTTATAATTTTTGAGTAGTGGTCTTTACAAAAATCACAAAGTCAAGAAATGTGACAAAAATGACGAAAACGTGAAAAAAAAAACAATAAAGATCAAAAATTTGAATTTATTTAGTAAAAATTTTGTATGAAATGATCATTTGGTTTGATTTGGGTTGTTTATTCTGGAAATTAAATTATTTCAGTAACAATTATGTAAAAACAGATATAATAAAAATTAAATTTTGTCCAATATTATTGAAAAAAAATGCCATCAAAAAATTAATATATTGCAACATAATAGGGAAATATGATACTTTTTCTGTCACGATTGGAGCACTAACGTAGTTGTTATGCAAACAAATTGCGTTTTTAACATCTGATGGGCTTGTAACTTTTGTGATGAATTATTTCCCGACCTTCAAAATGTTAGGAATCGGTTTATTATTATAGCGATTGTGAACAAATTTTATTTTATTTTCAAATATTTGTTTTAATGCATCTTGCATGTCTGCTTTTAATATTAAACCAATACAACATGTCTTTAACTGGCTAGTAGGTTTAGTTACTTTTAACATAATAAACACTGTTCATCACTACCAATGACATAAAACCATAAAAACCACAACATTAGTGTTCGTCATGCGACATAATAAAATTTGTGATAATTGCCTAGTAAAATTCTGCTTTTCTCACGAAATTAAGTGACTTTAACCAACAACGGTCATTACCACAAGAGGATATTATTATACGATTAAGGCGAAAAGCAGTAAATTAAAGTTGTTGCATCTGCATTTGATAATTAGTTCACAATAAAAATAATGTTAAGCCTCTGAGAGCAGAAAAACCAGTTTTAAATTAGTTTCCATAATTCCCGGCAGAGCCCGACTAATTAGCTGGTATTTAATAGCCATTCCCGTACTAGCCTCAATTATAATAAATATCATCCCAAACTAACGGCTTTCTGTTAACCCCCGGAGTATAAACTGAGTCTCTCCGGACCCTCGTTTAGTGTAAATACGAATAAGCGCTGTTTTTGCGTAGGAACAGAGCAATTCCGGTCGTTTTTAAATTTTGTAAAAGAATCGATTCGTTTGGTATTATTCTTTGATCTCGAAAGAATAACTTGAAGAGGAGTTTCATTATTTTCAGGTCGCTTTTCTGTACGACTGGCTCTGATTCGATCACCACATATTGAACTTTGCGAGCGAATTTTCCACGAATGGGAAAAATAAAACCGGCAACTATAACATTAATTTGCTCTTTTATTCATGGGTTTCTAGTTTAGGAGCGTTATTTACAGCAGGCACGCTGTTATCGTTCATTTTTCTGGCAGACGTGAATAACTCGAGCGTCAAAAATGCATAAATTACCGTAATTTTGCCGACGTATGTGTTTAATATACAAGTTTCAGGCGGTAGGTAACCTTAGTTAGGTGCTATCAGCATCTATACAAATTATAAAGGACCCTAACCGCATGCGATATATGGCGCTGTGCGGTGATGTAATTCTCCGGATTAATTCTGCTGGAATTACGGCCAATAGTGGAGAAGAATTCTAAAGCGATTTTGAGGAAAACTTGATGTAAAAATTCAAGTATGAAATTTTGCAGTGACCAGAATTTGGTGCCAAGTTTTAACTCTATTTGATTTGAAAATAATTCGCAATTTTGGTCCGCAAAAATTCAAATGACATTTTACGCATTTCTAGGGACTTGGGAAAGTAGATAAAACGTTGTTGAGTCGAGTTTGAAAACAATTAAAGTTTTTGAATTTTTCAAGATGTTAAAAATCATGGAAAAAAATGTTATTTGGACCTTTTCTCACAATATGTTTATTAAAATTCCATTCTGAAATCACAAAATGGTGTTTAATGGACAAAAATAAACACGGTCAATTATAAACTTACTGTCTAAAGATGGTCATTATAAAAATTGGCATTACGTATTTCTAGGGACTTGGAAAAGTAGATAAAACGTTGTTGGGTCGAGTTTGAAAACAATTAAAGTTTTTGAAATTTTCAAGATGTTAAAAATCATGGATCATTATGAGAATATAGTTTTCTAGACGTAAAATCTTGTTAAAATGCTCTACGACGAGTAGCTTTCAAATTATATTTCGTTATTCTATTATTTACTTGTGTTTCAATTGCTATAATTACTTAGTCAAAGCAATGTTACAGATTACAGACGAAAGATCCCTATAAATTTGGGATCAATAATCTCACCTTTTTGTAAAAAACGGTGAAAGTTATTTCATCGGATGGTATTGTCCTTTATCAGAGTATAAGTGTTCGTTCACCCCTCGAATTAATCTCAATAAATGTTTTCTTTATGATTCACTCACCTCAGGTTGGTTCTCCCCATGGACAATACAGACCAGCTGCGCCTCCTGACCTTCCCCTGAATGAACCAGCGGTTTCTCGACAGAAATTTCCGGGGGATCTGTAACAAATTCTCTCATAAGTATTGAATCTCCGTATTGTTTCCGTACTTGTAATAACAAAGTAGGGAATATGTTCGCTTAATTAACTCCGGAAAGCATATTTTGTACCATATTCATCACGATAGATACGATCAAAATTATTAAAACCACCTCTTTTACATGTAAAAGCGATACCTTATTCGAGCTTTATCGTCTAAGATCGCTCTTGACAAAAGACCGCAAGCCGCAAAACCCGAACGCTATAAATAATAAACGAAAAGCGAGCTTAGGTGTACGCAGTATTGCCTAATTAACACCGGAGGATCCGCCTTGTGCCATTTATTTCCCGGCCTTTGGCATAAATCAACCCGCTCAATAGGTTTAAGGGTGATTCATTAACATTTTTGCGAAATATTTACGACTGAGTGAAAAACTGCAAAGTTCCATGAGGCTTGAAATATTAATTCCAATTTTATACAGCTAATGCATTAGTTGTGTTACATTAAAATTAAATTAGATCCTCGACCGATTCTTTCTTGCCTGAACAAGATAATTTCATTCGCGAAACTAGCACGACGAGGGTTTATAATTAGGAAAAAATTTCGCGTCGAGCTGGGGAATTTTAATGTGCACAATTAGGATCAGTTAGAAGAAAAATTAAAAATCGTTTTTTTACTAAATTAAGTTTCATCTTTTCACTGACTAAATTTAGAATTTATTAATTATACAAATCGAAATGGTTGCCATTCCCGAGTTGGACTTAAATAATGCGCATTTACCATGATATTGCATACTGCAAACATTTAATTATTCGCTAATGCTAAGCATCCAGGTCAGGGTGTAAAGCAGAATCACAGAGGCTTTTGTGATTACCGATTGTGGTTTGCAGATCGTTAATAATCATTACATGTCGTTATTGGTACGATGTTGTTATCAGTAATGTTGGAGAGTGTAAGCGACTACACTTTGTTAGGTTAAATTGACTTGCTTGCATAAATTCATATTTTATCGGGATTTAGGTGTTCCTATTTCAATTATAACCATTATATTGTCTTAACAACCTTGTTTGCTAACAGACACACACATACCTGCCATATACGAAAATTGCTATTAGATAGAATCGTTACCAGAATACGCTCACTGAACAGTTCCGCTCTATTAAACATTTCGTCTGTAAACATTGACTATTTAATTGACGCTAATGCAAAACAAATCAAAAATTAAAGAAAAACCAGCACAATATTTGGCATCCAGAAACCCAATTAAATTTAAATGCTGTTTAAAAATAGTGAACCCGTTTCACTGCTGTCAATATTTCAGCCAATTTCGACATTTTTTAAATATTAAATTATTTTATAACAAGAAACTGACAGTAATAGACTGTAATCAGAACCATGGCAATATTTGTAGAATTAGGAATCCAAAAACCATTATTTAAAAAAAAAACCTGTTAAAACACAAGCGTATTATTACACTTCTGTGATGTTAATTTATGTAATTTTATTTTACTAGTGATCAAAATAGTTACGACTCATCCGTTATTCAAAGACAAACAAAAACTTTGTGTAGGTCTTGTTGCGTATTTACTGAAGCAAACATTTGAAACATTTTCTGTTCTAACAGTTTCAAGGGAGGTTTGGATTTAATAATGTACATTGTTGAATAAAAATTTACATCGAAACTAAACATTACATAAGATTTTTTTCAAAAGTAAAGTTTATCTTTGAATTGAAATTGCGTTGCATTAATACAAATTGGTTTAAACTAAAAACTAATGCAAACATTTGTTCCTATTTGTGTTTCAATAAACTAGAATTCAATAGAATTCCAGTTATTTCTATAAAATTGGAATTTTATAGATTATATATTTACCGCTGTTAATACTATTTAATTCGACGTCGGTTTGTTAGAATTAAAATTCATGATAAATTAATTGTTGGTTCGTTGGCTATATTTTTATTTTATTATTTTTTATTTAAATTTTATTTTTATAGAAACCCATTAATCAAATACATAGTGGGGACTCATCTAGTTGTAAAGAATTTCTAAAACCAACTGCTCCCTAAATAAGCACTTATGCCCCTTAAAAATATTTTTCTTCTGTTAATTTCCTCTAAGCCCGCCATTCTGTGATAATCTTGAGTGATGATTCAATTAAAGTACTCGCAGTGTACATTGCCACTATTGTCTATAACGTTAATTAGCAATTATGTTAGCTTTTCTCTCCTCAAGATCTCGTAGCGTATCCTGGAACTGTTATCTTTATGTTTTTAGAAAACGTCCCTTCCACTGATATCAACGTTACTTAGACCGTAACCATGTAGCATGTAACAAATGACACTTATTAAACAAGCAGAGACGTACTGAACATTTTTCTTTGCTTGGATAGGAAGTATGATTATTTCGGACATTCTTACTCGCATGGACATCGTTTTGGTAATACTGCACTACTTTATTACAGCACTTAGAGAACTGAAATGTCCTTTTTATTACCACCACCATTTAATTTTGTACATTTGTAGGAGGAAATTTGAGCATATTTACGACTTGAATTAAAGTTTTTAATTTCTGGAAAATCTCGTCGGAGATTTATTCATAAAGTAAATTGTTTACCGATACTGTTGACAAATTACAGAATAATTTTCTCGTAGGCTATAAATTCTTCGTCCTTAGTTGAGTAGTTTTACCGCGGAAAGTTTAATAGATTTTCGAAATTCTAGTTGGGCAATAAATAATAATTTAAGAAGTAAAAGTCGTTGGGGTCTATAGATAAATAAAACCCGTGATGATTAATTAACACAGCGTACAGCTTTAACACGATATAATAAGGATTCAAGCAGATTTACACTCTGGCACGGTTAAATTTATGTTTATATCCTCGGTGCGTAATTAATATTCTCTCCAGATCGACGAGACCTCGTCTCATTGTAAGACTAAAACTACACATAAACTGGAGCAATCTATCTCCAACAATCTTAGTCGAGGCAACCGCAGACCGCACTCATTGCATTTAATGCATTTCCTAGCAGCGGCCCTGGGAATTTCGATTGCGTTTTAAATCCACGAAAATATAGCGATGGGTCGCTTAATTGCGGCTTATTCAACATAATGGCCACATTACAGTTGAGTGTTAATATTTTTCACGTGTTACAGATTTCGGTATAATGAATGGAAGTGTTATTGCATTCAATGAATGAACGTCTGGTTATCTCATAGTATAGAGCTTTTTACGTCCGCATTATGCGCTAATTTTCGCAAAATCTGGTTTATGAATAGCGTGGTCGGTTGTTTTATCGTACTTGAACTGCGACAGACGTTTGTTATCGCGGAATATGTGCATGAAAATGTTGAAGTAACTTACCGCAAATAAAATTTCTATTACCAGCGCACATTATTCTTGTTTAGACGCAAAATAAAAAGCAAATGGATAATGCAAACATATAAACAATTTAAACATACAAGGCAGTCAATTTTTCAAAATATTTAATAAATCAAATAACTAAGTAAAACAATTTTTTAACAGTTTTTTTTATGGATAAAAACTGGAGAACAAAATACTCGTTTTCCATCGATTGAGAGACAGACCAACATTTTTTCCAGCGATTGCACTTAAATATTGAGGGAGCGTCGAGGACGTATTGTCTCCAAAGAACCGGCTTAACAATAGTCAATTGGAAATATTCAATAGATACCCATTTAACCCGCGATTATACCGAATTTACCTGCAAATACGGTTAAGTCACGTGTAAACCTGATAACAGTTGTATCAAGCCCAATAATGAGCTGTCAGCGACAGCATCCCCGGGTTTGTTTATCATGCGTCCTTTTGGAACATCACCCTTCTTCAAACCCCATCCCGGTATGTCGGACACATGCCTGTCTATTTGCTTTGGTAAATAATGGCCTGGAATTATGCCATATACCATTGTCAATCACAGGTGCCACTGAAGAGTTTTAAACGTCAAATAAGCGATTTCCTAATCGATTCGATCTAATTTGACTTGTATGGAGAGCTAATTTAGAAATATCTTCGATTTGCAATCACCCTTTTGACGCTATGTGTATCATTTTTACACTTTGCTTTGGATAAATAGCTCGCGGCGGGGCGATCAATTCGTTTCACACCGGCTAAATTCACACAAGGATTTTAAAATGATTTACAGCACGATTAAGGTAACTAAAATAGGATTTCTGCTGCAACTTTTCACAAACATTACAGACCCCGAAATAAATTAAATACGTTTAACTAATTTAATAATGGCCCGGCGCCTCCACCATTTTTATTATTGGTGTGAATTCCAGCGCAAAAACAAACCAAAATGTAAGTATTGTAAATATTTGTTATATTTGGTGGAAATGAAGGACGATTGGAGTAAAATACTGATTTATTACGGGGCTGCTACGTTTCGATAACGTCCGTTATCATCTTCAGGCATTTCGACTTGTGTGAAAATGTAAAATTGAAATGCAGAGTCAAACTGTGAAATTCCAACTAATAACTTGCACCTAACACATCTTCAATTTATTCGAAGCTCTTATGTAAATGACTCACAGCTGCTCCAGTTATAATTTCTGTCAGCATAATGTGCATTAATGTTGAATATCCTAAGAATTTCCTCCAATTACAATTCATGAAGCGGCCCTAGAATCAAGGTGGAGTATTGTTCCCGCGTCACGCAGCTGCAACTTAATGTTGCAACAACAAAATTCGGTGCACGGGTGCAACATTCGGTATTCTGGCAAGAAGGCCGATTTACAGCGGTGTAATTTTCCAGTTTGACAATATGATGTTCGAGGGGATAATTTCAAGAGTGAAATATTTACAACGTGGATATAATTTTGAGAGTAAACAAAAGCTCTGGTAAATTGCTGAAGCAATTTCCTAATAGACAATTCGAAAAATTTATTGATATTAAAGTAAAAGGGAATATTTCTGGGTTTGTGTTATCAGTTGCGCAAAGGTTGTAAATTTTACAGAATCGCTTTAATATAAAGTGGTGCTTGGGTGCAGGGATGCATC